AAGCTTATCAAAAATCTTAACTTCACATCAAGGTCCAAGAAAACAATTTCTCACATATTATTATGGCCCACATAGTAAATATATCACCTTAATCACCACCTTACAAACATCTTATGGCACACGTGTAAAAGAAGTGCATTCACTCTTTTTCACAGTTAGTGAGATGACTGGCACTGCATGGAGTCCACCATACACCAGGTGGTGGTGTATATGCTGAGGTGTACCCACATAGGTTCACTCTAATAGAGTCATTTAAATGTTCATCAGTCAGTCTTGTTCTGTATTTAGATTTCATGACATTCATGTCAGAAAAAGCTGCTTCACAAAGGTATGTAGAGCCAAATAAAGCAGAATTGTTCAGTGCTGATTGGTGATGTTCTTATAGTTTTCTGGGTCTCTGGGTCTGTAATAGTTTGCAATAGCTTGGAACACTGTACATCCCGTTTCAAGAATTCCCCTCAACTCTTCGCATCTAAAAAGAACGCGATCTGATCTAGCTGTGTATATTTTGTTATTTTTGCTAATTGAGGAGATGATAAGACAATCTCATTAACTACAGGCAGCGACAGAGGCTCATATATTGCATTAGGTAAAATAAAGCAGGCACACATAACAGGAAGAATTACATTTTAATCCAATCAAAGAGGACATTGTCACACCATTCAAATGTATCCATGTACATTAAGACCAATAAAAAAGCTTGGATTTGTTTCTTTGTTACTTTGTTCTGTGTCAGCCTTGATATCACAAACATGTCAGAAGAACCAGCGCATAATTAAATAAAATACAGTCAAACAAAACTGAACTTCAACAACTTCAATGTCACATCCCTGACATCAGTGGCGTAGCCAGGAATTATTGTGTGGGTGGGCCTGGAGAAATGTAGGTGGACCAGGGGGAGACTTATTAAGCGTGGGGTCTGAGCTGAAACTTCATTAATGATTTTATTTATTTTTTAATGCACTAATTAAACATCAATCAATCAATGTTTCCAATCCACAACTCCGGAGCCTGGCCCTTAAACCCTAGAACCAGCGCAGCCGGATGAACCCCAAAGCAGCAGCTCTGCGACCGCTGAGACTGTCAAAACCGCCGGCATCGTTGAACCAAAACAGGCTGGTTCCGACTGCGTGGAGGTTTGTTGTCGGGACATTGAGACGGGTAAAGCTGCAGAGCTAATTGTAGAAAAAAAAGGAGACCGCTAGATCGTTTGGACAAAGAGAAAGGTACTTCAATGTAGAATGGTACAAAAACAGAGAGTGGTTAATTCTTTGCAAAACCACTAAACGAGCCTTCTGTGAAATATGCAGATTTGCTGCTGTCAAACAGCTTGTAACCTTTCTCCAAATGTGGAGATGACAGCGGAGCTAATAACTGGAAAAAGTGCCCAAGCCTCCTGGACAGCCACGAAAAGTCTCATTTTCACAGTGTGTTCAAAAAAAGTGCGTAAGTGCATAAATTAATTAAGTTTGCTTTAATACAGGCTATGTAGTTATGCAGCGCCCCCACTGCCAGTAAATGGAACTACTTCAAGGAACCCTGTTAATTATGTACACTTATTTCACGACTTTTATTATATACACCTTGAAAAAATTATCGAGCTCCTGACCTCGGTGACCTCAATGGTGGATACGGCCATGCCTGTAGCCAGAGGCGGATTGATTACCACTCCGCTAGTGCCTGTAGATTTAGCATTTCTTTGACCATCACATACACACTCACTTTTTGGCCCCCCCACTTCTGAAATGAATCCGGTGCCGCTGGTTCTGTGTAGATGTAGACGACTTACAGACACAAAGCTAATATATTTCTCATTATCATTTCTTGACTGCAGCAATTCAAGGCAGATCAAATGCTTATATTTTCATACATCTCATTGGCTGTAACAATTCGTCACTCACCGCCGTCGTCCACTCAGAGAGCTGAACCCGGTGAAGGAGCGGCTCCTGTTGACCAAACCTCCATCAGAGGGGGAGTCGAATCGCAGCTTCACCGACATCCTGTAGAGAAAGACAGACTAATTACAGCTTTGGGACATTGCAAGCAAACAAAAAATCCCTGCGTCCTAAATATTCTCCAATTAACACCAAACGACCATAACTTTGACAAGACAGAGAAATTTAAACACATCTATTTTAAAAGTCGAAATGACGGTACTCTCACTTGTTTCTTACCAAACCATTATCTTTAAACATAAATTAGTTGTAAGAAGATCTTGTTATTGCGAAATGAATTAGCATCCGTCACCTGTTACTTTGTGTGCAAGACATTTTTATATTGATATTTAGGAAGGTAATACTAAATGATGAAGACAAGAATGGAGCATTTTAATGAATTCTAGCACACCTGCATTTTTATTTCTTACTTTTTAGCTTCTATTTTCACGTCCCTTCAACTCACACGCAAATGCTTAAATCAAAAGGGAAAGACCACCCTCAACTCTCAGTCAATCCAAAACAGAAAAACAGAGCACATGCATCTCTGGGACACATTCAAAGAGACAGGAACATCCTGAAACAGACACCCAAACATGTACAAATACTGGACTGCAGATGGAAGACAGTTATATGTTTGCAGATAAATTCTCAGTCTGGGTCTCTCAGATGGCACAGCATCAGATTTTAAGTCACGCTATCTACATTCCTCTAGGGAAGACAGTGTCAACCCGTCAGTGAGTCTAAACTGAAGTCTATGACTATTGGATGGATTGTCATGTCATTTTGTCACCACCACATAAATCACATCACCAGGACCGCCTTTTTCCACCTCAAAAACATTGCCCGTCTCCGCCCATCACTCTCCTCCTATGCTGCTGAAACCCTGATTCATGCATTCATCACTTCCCGACTCGACTACTGCAATAGCATCCTCTATGGCATACCATCCAACCTCCTCAATAAACTCCAACATATCCAGAACTCTGCTGCCCGCCTCCTCACCATCACCCGCTCCCGAGACCACATCACTCCCATCCTCCAGAACCTCCACTGGCTCCCCGTCCGTCAAAGAATCCACTTCAAAGTCCTCCTCATTACTTACAAAGCCCTCACCAACCAGGACCCCCCCTACCTCACAGACCTGCTGCACCACCACACCCCTTCCCGCTGCCTCCGCTCATCAGAAGCCAACCTCCTATCCATCCCCACCCGCACCAATCACCGGACCTGGGGGGACAGAGCCTTCTCCGTCGCTGCCCCCTCCCTCTGGAACTCACTCCCCCAACCCATCAGAGACTGCACCGACCTCACCACCTTCAAAAAACTCACAAAAACTCACCTCTTCAATCTGGCTTTTCATGTGTGATTGTTTTTGTATTATTTGACTTTAACTTTAACTATATATTTATTTGTTGTTCCTTTCTTCTCTTTTCTTTCTTTCTTCACTATTATCTGTAAAGCATCTTTGAGCACCTGTAAAAGCGCTAACAAATTAAATCTATTATTATTTATTATTTTGTAAGTCTGTTTACCATTTACATGTGGGGACTCGCCTCCCTTATGGGGACATATTGGAGGTCCCCACTGAGTTTTAGGGTGAAGACTTGGTAAGGGTTAGGGTTAGGCATATGTTGGTTATGG